CACCTGAGGCGTCCACCACAAGGAGAGGGTGGCAGGGGAGACGTGCGCCTGGGCCCCAGGAGTCGGAGTGGTCCGGCTCGCGCCTCTCTCGACTGGCGCGACGGCCATCGCGCACGCATGCCGTCCTGCTGGGGATCGACTCCACTTGGCCACCCGGCCTCGGCACCCGCCGCGGCCTCGGCACCTTCGAGCTCCTGCCTCACTGCCCCTTGACGCGGTCCAGCATGGCATCCACGGTGAGGCTCTTGGGCCGCTCAATGGGCAGGCCCAGCGCGCGGGACCAGACGCCCTGCGCCAGCACCCCCATGGCGCGCGACACGCCAAAGAGCACGGTGTAGAAGCTCTCCTGGGTGATGCCGTAGTACTGGAGCAGGACGCCGGAGTGCGCGTCCACGTTGGGCCAGGGGTTCTTCACCTTGCCCGTGGCGGTGAGGATGTCGGGCACCACCTCGTACAGGTCGCTGACCAGCTTGAACATGGGGTAGTCGGGCAGGTGCTTCTGCGCAAACACTCGCTGGCAGGTGTAGCGCGGGTCGGTGCGGCGCAGCACGGCGTGGCCGAAGCCGGGCACCACCTTGCCGCCCTTGAGCGTGGCCCAGACAAACTCCCTGAGCTGCTCCTTGCTGGGGCTCTCCCCGATCTCGCGCGTCACGTGCTGGATCCAGCGCAGCACCTCCTGGTTGGCCAGGCCGTGCAGCGGGCCCGCCAGCCCCGTCATGCCCGCGGCGAAGGCCAGGTAGGGGTCGGAGAGCGCGGAGCCGACCAGGTGCGTGGCGTGGGCCGACACGTTGCCGCCCTCGTGGTCTGTGTGGATTGTCTGGTACAGGCGCATCAGCTCCAGCGCGCCGTGCTCCCGGAACCCCATCATGGCGCTCAGGTTGGCGGCCCAGTCCAGGGCCGGGTCGGGGGCGATCAGCTCGCCCCCCGCATACGCGTTGCGGTAGATGATGGCCGCGATCTCCGGCAGCTTGGCGATCAGGTCCAGGCTGTCCTCCAGCACCGGCTCCCAGTACCGGCTCTTGTGCAGGCCCGCGTCGTAGGCCGCCGCAAACTTGCTGCCGGACTGCAGGCCCAGCACCGCCTGCGCCAGCTGCGTCATGGGGTGCGTGCCCGCCGGCAGCGAGCCCAGCAGCGCCTTGACGTGGTTGGGCAGGGCGGAGCGGGAGCGCAGCTCCTCTGTCACTGAGGACACCTGGGCCGGGGTGGGCACCTCGCCGGTGAGCAGCAGCCAGAGCAGGCCCTCGGGCAGGGGCTCGCCGCCGGGGGCGGCGCCGGGAAGCTTCTCCTGCAGCTCGGGGATGGTGTAGCCGCGGAAGCGGATGCCCTCGTCCGCGTCCAGGAGGGAGGTCTCCCACAACATGCACTGTGGGTGGAAGAGGGGAAGGGGGGGGGGGGGGGGGCTGAGGGGACGGAATGGGCAGTCGGGGTGGAGAGGCGAGGGAGCACAAGTCACATGGTGGGCCAGGCGGACACCGGAACAGGTGTGTCAAGCGGCGCGCTTGGCAAGCTCTGGTCCATCCACGGTCCGACTTGGTCGGATCTGTAGGGTCTCGCCAGAACACCAATACCTTGTGGCACTACGTGCCCCACAGTTGTACCCACACGACGAGTGATACATAGCGAGACACCTGCCCTGCCTCCCCTCCAGTCTCCTGGAATACTCAACGGTTCACACTCACCGGAATGCCGCGCATGCCGCCGATGGCCTGCTCCACGGTGACTTGACCCAGGATCTTGCTGCCATGCTCCTTCTTCAGGGCCTTGACACGCTCCTGGGATTGGTGTGAAAGCCAGGGTTGGCATGGGCGCCAGTGTCGAGGCTAAAGCTGGGCGAGTCAAGGATCCGGTGTGCGGCAACCCAAAGCCATACGGCAAGGGGGCATCACGCAGCAACGCGGAATGTGCCGTAGACCACTGTCACTGTGCTCCTTGCGGCAAGCGTTGTGGGCCGGGGAAGTGTTCGAGCAGGCGGTCCGACGCCAACAACCCCAACGCCGAACCCCAGCCAAGATCTCATGTGCATCACACCTGCTCCGCGAGAATCTTCTCTGCCAGGGCCTCCTTCAGCGAAGGAGCACTGGAGAGCCCCCGACGAGCCACATCCAACAGGTCCTCAACACTCCGAGGGAGGGCTGCGGACCTGAGGGTCAACCTCAGCTTGCTGGTGATTTGCATCCTCTTGAAGCGTCCAGCGCCACTCTAAGGAGATCCAGCCGATTGAATTTCAGACACTGTATGTGCCGAGGATGGTCGCGGCACCTGGCAGCAGCGTTATATGCAGGGTGCTGGGAGCCCGGAGGAATGTGAGAATCTGTCTCTCGTCAACCCACCACTTTCAGATTTGTCATTGAACATGGGCAGAGCTACATCAGCCGATCATCAATTTAACTAACTACAGATGTCACAAATGTGTACGATACCCCCCTCCATCTGCAATATTGTGCTCCTTGTCTGTTGTGTTGCTTTACACATGGCACGCATGGCATAGACTGGTATGGGAACGAGTCTCCCGAAAGGTGATGCGGCATGCAGCACCACACGAATTTCACAACACGATGCAATTGAGCTGGATGATCTAGTGCAGGGCCCTTGTCAAGATAAGGTACATACGCGCTTTGACTACCTCTTCACATTCCTACTTTATAATGCAAGCCCACGCTTCACCGACGCAGTAAGAGGGAGCAGTCAATACAATCGATGTTGAGTGCCTCTGGAGGAGGTGGGAGCATTTCTCCTCCCCGGACGTCCAAAATTTGCACGAGGGCAAGATAGAATACCTGCACAGAAGAAGTGGAAGTCAGGGAGAGGATGGGGGCCCTGCACAGGCGGATCATACATTTCATTCTCCCAATGGGGACGTGACGGTTCAAGACCACACTCATCGCAGGCCAGCGATCCAACCCTCGATCATCCACTCACGGCAATAGCGAGCGATATGCCTCCAGTGATGATGGCAACCACCTGACCCCTCTGAACAGCTGGATCCTTGGCAGCCTGAGGTTCTGGCTTCGTTGCAGCTAGTGGAGGCTCTTCCTTGGGTGTCTCCAAACCTGACGTATCTTCAGGCTCCGCACGAAGGATGCTGGACGGCAAACTCAGCTTGTAGTAGCCAGCATGACCCCTGCGTGGAGCTGAGCATAGCCGTAGCCCGCATCGTGTAGGCGCAGTCGCGAGGCTCGGACCGGGAAACGCGGCATGCAGACTCATTCTGCTCATCATGAAACGATTCGGGCTGACACTATTCCCGTTCTTGGGCTCAGCATCGACATTCGCATCATATACCATACTCTTCATGGCCACACCATGGATGAGCGCAGCACGCGCCTCAGGGCGAAGAGGGCTTCTCCTGTGCTACGAGCGACTCGAAGACCGGCGTACTCGCTGTGTGACAGGGCGCCCTTCGGATTTACGCATCCTTTTTAGTCACATTTGCACACATCCGTGAGCGAAGTCATCATGGATGAGGAGCCAAAGGGACTCAACTGTTCCCTAGACTCGCTCATCGAGGAGAGCGGGGGAGGACGAGCACCCCGCAACCAGCGAAAGGACAGGAGGGGTGGAGACCACAAGCCGTACCAAAGACGGGGTAATAACGATCAGAGGCTCCGACATCAAGTTAGCGGCGGACCTCAGGTCGGTCGAGGATGAATTGCTGAGTGAGCAGCTACTCAGGGATCCAAGGACCTCAGGCAAACATGCGCAATTCCCCCTGCCCATCGCAGATAGCCATGGCGATACCCCACTTTGCGCAGCTGCAGCCGCAGTTCCTGATCCCTCAAGCCTTCCCTCACGCCATCGTGCACCAGGGCCTGGAAGGGCCCCACAGACCTCGGGGTCCGAGGAATCGCAGCCAGGAGCCTGCTCGACCCTCTGTGGATCCATACGCCTACCGAAAAGTGAGGAGACCGGGCCCCCTGTTGGCAGGGGGAGGAGTGGGGAATTCTCTGTGGTTGGGGGAACTGGTGAAGGTTGATCAAGCTTGTTGACTATGCGCTTGCGTCGTATGCACTGCTTTGACACATCCATCATTGTGTGCAAGACATGCGGTGGCACCGAAATTTGCACTCACGTTGTCTCCCTCCCACATGTTTTGCAGAAGCAAACATGCTTTCGCGACGAGGAAACAGGGAATGTGGTGTTTCGGTATGACACTGTCGACCTGGTGGTCATCACCCCGGCTGGCGAAGTCACCCTGGACTCTCAGGACGCTGCAGATGTGAGTTACCTGCATGGGTTGGGAGAGATGGCCAGTGCAGCAAAACTGCTTGTACTGAGACGCAGCGGGCGGGAGCCGGACTCGTGTCCACTCCAGAAGGCACCATGTTCCTGGTCGGCTCGCCGACGTGACTCATATCCACCATGCCCTTTGTCCATATTGCCTCCTCAACAGCTGCATGTCTTCCGGTCGTTGAACGACGCGCTGGCCCCGCTCAATATGAGGGTAACTGCCCCCTCTGGACGCTGGGACATTGGCGACTGGTCTGTTTCAGACGGTCGGGCCCTGCTCCGCTTCCAGGACGGCATGAAGCTGCCCCCCAAGGGCCCCGCTGCGGCCTCGAGAGCTCAGCTCATGCTGGATGGTTTCAAGAAGGTCGGCAAGGTCGGGCCGCCGGGCAGGGCCCCGGGCAGCGGCCAGCGTGGCGGGTACCCACAGCCACCGCACCCGTTCTACATCCCAGGCGGCGCTCCCTACCCTCCGCCGCCGCAAGCACCCAAGGTGGCGCTGCCGGGCAGCGCTGCGCCAGACGTGTTCTCGCGGCTGGGCGGCAAACTGGAGACGGGAATTTCCGAGGGGGAGCGACGCCTGCTGGCCCAGGGCAGACTGGGTTGATGGATGGCATGTCACACCTGTTTGTCTGTGCAACAGAACTTTAATCTGACCCACACCTGACCGGTGCAGCTGAGCAAGCAATGTGTCGAAGGGACTGGCCAGACCCCGATTGGGCGCGAGAAAAAGCTGGTCGAGAGAGGGGGACACGATGATTTCCCTACAGATCAACCAGCGCAAGCCGCCCAGTGCTTCGTCCATTGGCACCGTGCAGAAGCTCGTGGCGCATCCATTGTGATCTTCTATCGGCTGGCACACCTTGTAGAGAGAGACGCTACCGGCCAACATGCAGGGTGCCATGGCTGGGTGCGCTCGCCCGGCCTTCTTCGGCACAAAGTGCCCTGCCCTTACCGTGCAAGGAATTCATACGGTAGGTGGTGGCGAGCTGCATTTTTACCTGCTACGGCGCGTGGGGATGCTCGTCGCGACTCATCGCACACCACCTTATCCGCTACCATTCAGAGGTGCTCCCCTCCAAGGCCATCCGCGCCCCTACGCGTTGAGGCGGCGAAGATCGTGAGTGGGGAACTCTTATATATCGACATAAAGGCACCTGTTCACCGGCTTTACCAGGGCTGTTTAGCGGGCTGTGTGACCCACCCGCTTCTGCTGACGTCTTCTTCCTTTATTGACCACCAGGGTCCCGGTAAAAAGTGGGAGCATTACGAGCTGAATGACAATGGGAAACCGCTACGGATTCCCATGCATGTCAAGACTGGGGATGTTGTCCAGGTATGTCACGTTGGCTACGGCCTGGTGGACCGCTACTTGGGCCAGGTCGCATGGTGCAAGACCATTCAGGGTGGGTGTCACGCAGTAGGGTGGGGTGTCTTTATTGCGATGAGGAATCGCAAGATGGTATTCAGGGAGGTGGCAGAGTACAGGCAATGAGATTGACCAAAAACCTTGCCCTTGCAGGTTATTGCTGGAGATGACCGGGGCAAGGTTGGCAAGATTGTGAAGGTACACACCAAGATTGGGAAGGTGCTCATTGAGGGCGTCAACGTCAAGGTGAGCAGACACCTCTATGTTGGTAGCACTGTGGGGGCTGTGTAGGAATGGGAGTTACGTAGTATCGTGGTCGATATATATGGCAAGGTTACCCGCGCAGCCGCCTCCTGCGCCCGGCTGTCTACTCAGAGAGCTGGCAATTCCCCATCTGTAGACCAAGCATGTGAAGCCCCAGTCAAAAGAGGAGGCAGGGCAGGTAATGCAGCAGGAGTACCCCATCCACCACTCTAATGTCGCCCACTACTCGGAGGCGCAGAAGGTTGCATCCCGCATCGGGCACAAGTGAGTCTCGTGGAGATGGTGACATGGAGTGGACTTGGCATGCATGACCCACAGCAGGTCTATAAAGTACCTAATGCGTAACTCTTGCCTACGTGCAGGTTGAATGATGACGGGAAGAAGGTTCGGTTCCTGAAGAAGACTGGGGAGGTCATTGACTGAACTTCCAGCGGGCTTCGGAGAAGGTCCTTGTGATCACTGAAGATGCTGGCTGCATTTTGCCGCTGTGGATCAGGTGCTCTTCTCAACACACACACACACACACACACACACACACACACACACACACACACACTCACTGCCAATCGGTGATCAGAGTCAAGCCTATGACAGTGATGTGGACTTGAGGGATGGGGCCTTCAAGTCTGGCTGCTTGGGGCCTAAGATAATTGTACCTTGCAACGACAGGCATGGTGGACTCCGTGTTGACCCCACATCTTCCTGGAGTATGCCTCTCCAGCACCCATTACACCTCACCCTCCAAGTTCCTAAGGGGTTATTGTGTGCACGACAATGCAACTCAGAGCTGGGGAGCTTCGAGCATGAGGCAGACACCTGCCTTGGCCCACTTTGTCCACGGCTGCTTAGATCGCAGGGACACGGAGAACACCTCCTGCCTGAAACGGATCTGGGTGGCATAGACTGGGCATTCGTAGACATCCCTGGTCTCAAAGCTTCCCACAGGGAGGGCCTGTCGGGGGTGGAGGCCTGAGGCTGAGGGAGAGTTCTGCAAGGGCACGGTCTGAGAGTTTTGCCTGAGGGCATGACCGTTGGAAGGTGGTGGTCTCATGCACCTCGCGAAACCCTTGCTGCCTCAAACACGAATGCCATCCCCATCAGTCTCACCCTGATGTGCATCACGGGCATGCGGCAGGAGAGGACCTTGTGCCGAGCATCCTCCAGACACCCTGCCTTCTCGTCCCAGTGTGCCCCCTCCAGTGTCAGCCCATGGATGTATGCCCCCTCGCGTGCGGGCTCTGAGACAGCCTCACACGCACGACGTGTGACCTGCGTGAAATCGTGCTGGACGGATGGGAGGAGGGACCCCAGCGCGTGTCATGGGGGAATCGAGCCTCTGCTCGAGCAGGCCTGGGCAAAGAGGGGCCATGCACCACTCTGGCCGTCTTGCTGGCCCTGTGGCTGTAGGCATGCCCCTGCTGCCAATGGTCCCCGGAAAAGGTATTCGAAGCGCATCAGCGCATGATGGCATGCTCACCTCCGTCACAAGCAGCGTCCTGTCCAGCGCCCAGCCCTGCTGACGAGCGGTGGTCTGTAAGACGGCGGTCAGGAAGGCCATGGGATTGAAGAGCCCAGGGAGCCACACCACGGGTGGAGGCTCCATTGCGCGGGTCCAGTTCTCCAGCTGCTGGGCACGCTGTGCTCGGTGCAGAAGATGGTGAGGGGATTGGATGGGGGGTCCCTCGTTCCGCTCACTGCGCAGCACAGGGCCGCCGGCCCCTTGCATGCCCACTCTCAGGTCTGAGGCGGTGACGCTGGCGCCCTGGCGGGCCCGGCCCCAAAGCTCCGACTCAGAAGCACCCACCCACCCCTTCTTTACAGCCTACCTGGCTCAGGTCCTCCAGCCAGGACGCAAGGTTCCTCATGGTGGGGTAGGATGCGGCGATCCAAGACGGTGGCACCCGACTGCTGGTCAGTGCCGAGCGGATCTGCTCCATCGTCGCCTGAAGAGTGAGGAAGGGAAGGTGGAGAAGTGTGTGTGCAAGGGTACAAGCTGACGTGGATGCATTATGTCAAAAGGTAGTGGAAGGGCTGGAGGTCCCTCTGTGGCCCCAACTTCCTGCCCGCTCAACCGATCTCGCTCACCGACATCGCCAGGTCCCCACGCAGGCCGAGCTCCAGCTCCCCGAGATCCGATCGCAGAATGTGGAGGAGGGCATTCAGCCGCTCACTCTCCTGGGACAGTGGTGGAGTTGGGAGCGGTGATCAGCTATTTGCAAGATTCAGACTTGGCAACAGCCAGCAGGCAGTGGCAAAGCACAAGGTGGAGCAGCATGCACAGGCCAAGCATGGGAGAGGCACATTCTCTGAGCAATATGTGTCACGACTCGAGTGTTAGACCCTCTGGGGCTCCCTTTGCCTACAGGAAATCCGAGTGTCACCCCTGTCCCAAGCGACAAGGTACCTGGAGCGCCACCATTGCAAATGGATCAGAGGCTTCCACCTGGCCACGGATCGTCTCCATATCCAGATTGTCAGGCAGTGAGCCGACAACTTTCTCCAGGAACTGTGTAGTGGTGTGGAGATGGAATGTCCCGGCAGCCCCTTGCTCCTCCGGCTTTGGATGTGGCATGCACCTCACTGTCAGCAGGGTTTACCCCACCAGCTGCCTCACCATGAAATCAGAGTCGACTTCAGCCTCTGCAACGACCTCCTCCTTGCCCCTGTCATCCCCCTCAACCTGTTCACTCAGGCAGAGCGGCAGAGGAGTTCAGCACAACGGACCCGAGTCCAAACCTCCTTCATACCAGTCTCCAGCCTGTCCATCACCTGGAGGGAGCAAAGTGCCTCACTGAAGGCCCGGGTCTCCAGCTGGCTCGACCCCAAAGCGGCATTGGCGTGCAAGCCGTATGCAGCGGGGGCTTCGGGAGGCAGGGCCTCAGACAGCCATTCCAGCACCTGCACAGATGGTGCGCAAGGGAAGTGCATGCGGCTGGCACATGGCAAACTGTGACCCTGGGGCACCCAGCGATGCGCACTCCGTCAGGGAACCAAGACCAGCCAACCCAGCCTGTGACAGGCAGCAGGCTTGCCTGTGCATGGTTCAAGGAGGACAGCGGGGGGGACATGCCAGGGAAGATCTCAGCGCCATCGAGCAGTGCCTCCTGGAACAGAGATGTGATGTAGGCACGAGAGAGCCTCCTGCGGGAGACACGGCCAAAGATGTAAGGATGAGTTTGAGGGGATTTTTTTCATGGTTTGGGACAGTGCTGCAGGCCGCCTCCTCCCTTTCTGTGTCTGCTGCACTCTGCATGAGATGTTTTGCTCAGGGCACTGCTGCATTCCTGGAAGATGCACACCCTTCCCTCTCACCTATCCCAGCCCTCCACAATATGTCCACCATAGATGATCTCGCCAAAGAGGTATTGCAGATCTTCCCAGGGAACCTGTAAATCGACTCGAGCAGCCGACAGGGTACACTGATCAGGAGGGGTGTTGCAGCAATGTCTGGACTGATTTAGGAATGCACTCAAGACTTGCACTCTGCCATGGAGGACTCGGCTGCATCCCAACCAGATGCGTTGAAACGTAGTCAATATGTACAGCATGACTTTAGACTCAGACCGACCTTTGTAAAGTTGTCAAGATACTTGCCAGCAAGCTCTGCACAGCACACAAGGTCTCCTGTACTGAACCTGTAGCAGTAGTTCAGGATGCACCCGTTTGCCACACAATGGACATGCTGGCCAGGCAGTCCATCTTCAAGGCAGAGAAATCACGGAGTGGCCGCCTTCCACCTCGGTACTTAACGCTCGGTCAGCACCCCTCAGGCATTCAAATATTCAAAGTCATCAACGGTTGCAGCGGCCCAACGCCATTCCACTACTCACGGGTAGTTCATGTTCCAGCCCACGCCGGAAGTGGCTCCAAGGAGGTTACCCACTCCGAATCGCTTTCGCTCAATGATGACAGCATGATAGTAGCACAAGCCAAACACGATTGTCCTGCATGGACGTGGGGTGGGGAGACGGGCCCTGTGAGGGATCTTGCAAGTATGCTCCCATTGAAGCCTCCCCCCAGCAAGCAGACCGAGTGTACCTGAGCTCAGACTGTTTGGAGCATGCCTCAAAAGTGTCATCTGAAAAGTTGTTGTACGCACGAATGAGGTTCGCCTTCAGGCCCCCTGGAGGCTCAGTTGTAAGCTTGCAGCATGCCTGAGGAGAGGGGGTCCGACATGCAGTCAGGTGTTCTGCACTGAGATTGCTCTGCTTGCTGTGGAAACGGCAAAGTGATCTTGGATAGACTCCACCCGCACGATGAACTTACCAGCAAGAGAGGGGCTGGCAGGGGCTGCTCAAGTGCTGGCGGTGGCTCCGCAGACAGGAAGAGCCTGAAACATACACTGGAGGCATAGTAAAATCTGCAGGGGTACAGACCTTCGATGCATGCACATGAACACATCTGCTGCACGCCTGCAGGGAAGGACACCGCACCTGAAGTTGGCATGAGCTCCCCTTTGGGGCAGCTGGCTCACAAAGGTGGAGAGGGCACCCCTGGTCCAGTCCAGAGTGAGGTGTATGTTCTGCAGGAGGACCCAAGCGCCCTCACGGAAAGCCTTCTCCAGCTGCCGCATGGCAGCGGGTTCCTGCCAGAGTAGGGGTGAGTGAGAACATTGTCGTGAGAGTCCAAGGGCATGATAGTGCAAAGTTGCAGCTACCCCTATGGCATGGTGCCATGGCGCTGTGTATGTCCCAAGCAAGGTGCCCAGCCAGGTCCAGCATTGTCGCTCCTGGCCTCCAACCACGATGCTCACCTGTCCTTGACCGAGCGAGACAGTGGAATATCTCCCATTCTGAAGCGTGAAACCCATATGCCTCCCAAAAGCCTCCACAGCGCCAGCAACATCCACGCCAGCAGACAAGAATATCAGGATGGGCATGGCTGGCCCGGAATCCTGTGCATGACCATAGGAAGGAAGGACTGGTGAGAAGCGCACAGGGAGCTGTTGCGCCATGCTTGCGGCTTGAGGACATGAAGTATCCATGGGAGGCAGGATCTTGACCTGCCCAAGCATGGTCGTCCGTGTCACAGCCACATCGTCTCTACACAGATGCACACTGCACCAAAACCCATCTGATCAGTCTCTTGTTGTGGAAAGGTGAACCCCAGTCACCCCATGGCCCATTGCCAAGAGGAACCCGACACACACCCAGGCTTACCTTGTAAGCGTCGTCCAGGCTCCATGGCTGGCTGGCTGCAAATTTGGGCCCAAGCGTGGAAGCAACGAACAGCTCGGTGGCCTGCGTCAGTCTGTCTGGCCGGAGGGCCCTCAGCACCAGCAGCCTCTCCAGCGAGCCAGCCCGTTTCCACTCTCCGGGCAGCAGGACTTCCTCTGGGCGGGCCAGCTCAGCCCACTCCCTCCATCGCTTGGGCAGGCCGACCAGCTCGTGCAGCAGCGTTTCAAAGCCTGATACTCGCGCAAGGTTGGCCACCGCTCGCCAGCTGGAGTCGCTCATCCAGTCCGCCAGGGGGTTTGGAGGTGGGGCTTCCAGACCCTGTGGAAAGGAGGAAAGTGGGGGGGGGAATATGAGGGGCGCAGAGCCCGCCAGTCACTTGCGTGGACGCAAGATGACAATGATGCACGGCATCCGCTGCAGCGTGCGCTTCCTGTAGTAGTCCCTCGTCTTTACCTCGGAGCCGTTCGTCAGGCAGGCTGCCGCTGCAGCAGAGACGCTGCCTCCCCGCAGCAGCACTCGCACGCACAGCTGCGTGGCTGCCACGAGCTTGTGCCGCTCAAACAGTGCCTGGCACATGTACCTGGGACAGGAGGAAGATCGCACAGAATGTGTTAAAATGTGCAACAAACGAGGCTCCCAGCTACCGACTCGCCGGACCACCTATAGCCCACACTAATATAATCAGGTTGTACTCAATCATCCTCCACCAACCGGAAGAGGGCAGTTGTTATGTCCACTACGAGCTGCTGCACCCGCGCGCTGGTGTCAGTTGCATCCAGGCTACCCATGCCTCCAGCGCTGGAGACAGACTGCAAAGAGATTGGAACGAGGGGGCTTGCGATGCCATGGCAGAGCGAGGCTAGACACTTGGGGGGGTTGTAGGATTTAAAACCGCCTTCTTTGATGATGCAGAGGCACAAGCATCAAGACAACACCCTTGCCCACCATGCCGTCGTCATCGCCAGATCTTGAGGCTGCAGCTATTCCCTGCTCCAGTATCTGTTGCGTATCCAGGGTGAGCGAGGTGATCTTGATTCAGAGCTGCTCATCTACCATGGTCCAACCACATCCAAACACCAATCACGCTCACCATCACAAAGGCGGCCATGGAGAAGAGGTAGACGCGGTCCAGGGCCGGCAGCGAATCCATGATGAAGAAGATGATTGCAGCGCGGATGGCCACGGGTCTGTATGTTTCCAAGGACTGGAGGATAATGGCCTCATTCTCCTGCAAGCCGTTGACGAGAGGGGTCGGTCCTCATGGCTGCAGAGAAAGTATCAGTCCCATCCTTGCAGTACTAAGTCAAACGTTGTGTGGCCTGGTGCCAATTGAGAACCTTCCTATCAAAGAAAGCTCCCTCCAGCGCGCTGCTCCTCACCCTCGCTTCTGCAACCCTGTCCTCCACGTTTGCGGCCGTCGCCTTTGTGGCCTCCAGGCCCTCCACGAGGCCCATGTCCTCTAGAATGTTCCCATCCGCTGCCTCCAGCCTGCAGGGGTGACCAAGCCTGAGCTCATTGCCCACACCCCCGGGAACTTAGGTCCGGGCATGCCGGCAAGCACCCTCCCTGCGCCCCTGACAGGCCCTCACCTCGCCAGCAGGTCGTCTTCCAGACTCTGGAGCTGGGCAGAGAGTGCGCCCAGGGAACGCACGATCTCTGCTGCGCTGGCCTGCAGATCTGGGCGCTCGTGCCCCGCAACCTGAAAGTGGTGAGTGTGTTTAGGAGGCCATCCTTGACAAGGAGGCTACTGTGCAGAGGCTCAGGAGGCCAGGAGCAGGGAACAAACTTGACCTTGGAGTTGCTTGGTGATGTCAGACCAACTTGCATTGAGAGGAACCCTTCCTTACCGTGGTCAAGAGCTGCTCCTCGAGACCCTCTGGAGTGACGGAGAAGTTCACTATGGTACATTGCGCCGCGATCTGGTAGCGTCAGTGAGGAAGGAGGGTGAGTGAGATGATGTAGTACATGACAGGTCCATGCCCATTTTGCAGTTGCACGACACTGGCGCCCCAGGCAAAGCCATCAAGCGATGACATGAGTCCCTATCAAGCAGGATGACCTCTGGCCCCAACCCCGCATCTCACCTCTGGCCCAAAGTGTGGGCTGGAGATCTCGGTCTGGAGGTAGAGCCTGAAGGCGGGGTTGTAGTCGACCTCGATGTCTCCAAGAACCCAAACATGTGAGCCACCCTTCTTGACGATCTGTGTTCCCGGGACAGGGGATTTAGGGAAACACATTGGATGTGGGAATGGATGTGTCAATGCTATAATCTGGAAGTGGAGGTGGTACACAGTCCAGATCGGAAATTGACACGTCCTACCGTCTTCTGCAAGACCGGGTCCAGCGCCGGGTCAAGCTTCTCTGGCAAATTTTCAATGACAAGAGGGATCCCTTCCTGTATGCACTGCCGCACCTGGGGAAATGGGGCAGCAGGGAAAGGTGGGGTGGGTGGTCCAAGGCAATAGTAACTGCCTTGATCAATATCTGACGTAGGCAAGCTGGGCAATGGTGCACAGAAGCCATCCCGATCCTCTGTGTGTCAGCTCACCGTTGCCATGAAGTTCTCACTGTCCTGCTGCAGCACCCTCATTCCCGTGGACTCTTCCTGAGCCAAGAGCCACTTGAGACCCTGCAGATGTGTTAGAAAGGCGGGTTGTGCATGCAGCCGGTTGAGGAGGATGGGCCGCCCTATCCGCATTGTTGATAGACAACAGGCCGGACAAGGAAGGGCGCTCCAAGCATTTGGAAAGGCCCCTGGATCAGTCCAATGCAGCCCCCCTGCGTCCAGGGGCCCCTACCTAGTCACACCTGCTTGTGAGGGTCAATCAGCAGCGGCCACTGAGATGCATTGGTGAGGATGGCTGCGTTCTCCACGGATAGAGCATCACTTGGCAGCCCGTTCTGGGACCAGGATGTCTGCATGCAAATCGTGGCAAGGAAGAGAGGTATGGAGATATCACTTTGCCTGATGACACAGGACATGCAGAGGGAAGATCATGTCCACTGGATCCTTCCACTCCGCAAAAGGCTGCCCTTGCAAGAAAGTGAAGGAGGACTGGGCAGGGGCAATACATGCACTTCCCTCCAACACTTCCTCTCCCCATGCAGTACCCTCAGAACGCTGGTGATGAGGAGGTCCAAGGGACTGAACTCTGGCTCCAGAGGAATACCAGCCGCCAGAATGTGGGGTCTCCAGGTGCCCTCCACCAGTGATCCACGCAGCTGAGCATTGAAGGCTCCCGCATATGTGATAAAGGCGCTGGTGAGCAGCACTCGGCCCAGCAGAGTTCCTGTGGGAGGGGGGCATCACTGGCAGGTGGACAAACTCGCGCAACAGAGGCGATGAACTTTGGCATGCAACAAATACTGGTGGTCTTAATTGCCGAGTTGCATCACATACAAATTGCCTGGTCACGCTGTAAAAGCTGGCAGGGGGCTCTACCAGGCACCCTGTCCCACAAGAGCAAAGCACTCACACATTCGCCCAGCACCCTCCGCCTCACCCTCTTCATCCTCCATCTCGGCCACGGTGGCTGCCCAACGCTCATTCTCGCCTGCCAGTCCCGCAATCAGCCGCCTTGAGATGTCTGCCTTGCTCGCCGTCCGATCGGCCTGCAATGGATAATGCACAAGTGGACAATGGGCCAGGGGTGAGCTGGGCACGTTGCCACAAACGACCCATGGGCATATTGCACATGACCAGTAGACACTTGTTCTCCTCAGCGCTATACATCCCCCCAAAAGATCCAAAGCCCGCCCACCTGTGAGATGGCAGTGTTCTTCTCCTCTGTGGCGCGCAGGAGGTTGCTCTCCAGCGCCGCCACCTTGGCGTTCAGGTCCGCCACGACCGCGCGGATGGCGGTCAGCTTTTGGCTTGCCACAGCCAGCCTCTGGTTGGCCTCAGCCAGGGCCGCCCGCTTGGGGGCAACCACTTGATAGACCCTGAAGTACTTGCAGATGTTGAGCACCCAGGCGCACAGCCCAGCGGCGGCACTGGATTTGGACTTGATGGACTCAGGCCTGAAACCCGGCTGCGACAGGTACTCCTTCTCCACACGTTCCACATTGGGCACGTGCAGACCATCCTTATTGAAGGTGAGGAGGGAGCGCAGGAAGGCATCCACGTTGCCCATAAACTTCTTCCCCGCAGCCCAGCTCAGGTCCTAAGGTG